TGCAGAGGTAGAAACTCCATGGGGAAAATTGGCACTGTTACTCAACACAGGCTTTAATGAAGGACTGCTTTGAGAAGATTTATTGTTGTTACTATCGAAAAAGATAATATTATATTTTTTTCTTAAACATAATTTTTATGGTATCTGTCCTAACCAGAAAGTGTAAATTCATTGAAAAAATTCTGTTTTTTCCAGGCGGATTTCAAGTACTACCACATTTCATATAAAGAAGATATATCAATAACCAAACATTTATTATAATGTTGAAAAATATTTCTCTCAATAGTTAAGTTCACCATTTTAAATAATGAGAGAAAGCATATTGATTAAAAAGACCAAGAAAAATTATTACAATGTCATAAGAAAATATTTACTTTATTCATGACAAAAATAGTTTGCTTTTAGAAATATTTCTGGCAAAATAAGTGTCTAAATATAATCATTTTAGTTATTAGGAGGATATTAGAAACACATTTTCTCAAACAAATTATTTTAATATGAACATATTTTGAATTGAGCAGGATTATTTTGATGGGCTTTGGAATTTTAAGAAAAAAATCCTTCATTTCATTTCTTCTGCAATAGAGTAAATCTGATTCTCTGACTAATAAGTCAAAAACAGTCTCGTAGAAATTCATGAGAAAACAATTTCTTCCTTGAGGAAGAGCAATGATTTAAGCAATAAGCTTATGATCATTTCCACTTGCATGCTATTTGGTGGAGCCTATCAACACATTTCCTAGTAGCTGGCTTCCAATTAATTCTCCATTTGTTATTGACATAAAACTCTTGGATTCAGAGAGACAAACTTAACATTCAGCCTGTGAATATATATATATATTTTTTGTCCTTTTTGAGACCGGCTACACCGCGCTCAGCCAGTGAGCACTGTGGCGCACCGGTCATCCCTATATAGGATCCGAACCCGCTGCGGGAGCGCGATATATATATTTTTTGTCCTTTTTGAGACCGGCTGCACCGCGCTCAGCCAGTGAGCACTGTGGCGCACCGGTCATCCCTATATAGGATCCGAACCCGCTGTGGGAGCGCTGATTTAAGCAATAAGCTTATGATCATTTCCACTTGCATGCTATTTGGTGGAGCCTATCAACACATTTCCTAGTAGCTGGCTTCCAATTAATTCTCCATTTGTTATTGACATAAAACTCTTGGATTCAGAGAGACAAACTTAACATTCAGCCTGTGAATATATATATATATTTTTTGTCCTTTTTGAGACCGGCTACACCGCGCTCAGCCAGTGAGCACTGTGGCGCACCGGTCATCCCTATATAGGATCCGAACCCGCTGCGGGAGCGCGGCTGCACTCCCAGTGCCGCACTCTCCCGAGTGCGCCTCGGGCTCGGCCCCAGCCTGTGAATATTAAGATTATGCTTTGCAAAGGGGAAGTTTTGAATTTAGAACTGACACAACTGATGTAAACAAGGAACTTGTATACCCTGGGAGCATTTGGGGGAGGGAGGGGTTAGGATTCAAAGTCACCAGAAAAGGGAAAGGAAGATTGGTTTTGGTCCCACACGGATGACACATCAACTGCCAGTACCTGGATAAACTGTTAGCGCTGTGGATTTGAGCCTGTGGGTCTATTGTAAAACAAAACAAAAGCCTAAACCTATTAACCTAGGCAATCCGTGTTCTTAACCAGTCCTGTAATAAAGACCATGTTTCATAAGCAGAAGTGGATTTTCAAGCACAATTTGTACATAACATTGTCTAATGATAGATGATTAGACTGAATTTAGTATCCAGTAGTTTGAATTCCTATCTTTCTTTGGTCACTTGTCCTTTCCTTTCACATATCCTTCACTTGAAAAGATTTAGAGAAGCAGAGCAAAAATAAAATATTACTTTTCTGGTGCTGTCATATTTAAAATTCTGGAAGGAAGTAAACCTTCATTATTTGATATTTAACCACTTTCTATGATATTGATAGTTTCTTCTTCCACCTTATCAGTTAAATATGAATCATTATATTGTTATATTTGTTACAGATGCAAAAATATATATATGTTTGTAAAAATCCTCCACTTTTAATAGCTAAATTTTTTCATTCAGAGAATAAATTGTACGTATTCAGAAAAGTATATCATGTTAAATGTCATCTGTTCTTCATAAATTTCAAAGGAAGTGAAAATTGCAGATTATTATCCCCTAGGTTATCTATCACTTAAAGATATTAAAGAGAAGTCACTCATATTTGTTCATGAGGGGTGGCATGATCTGTACCCTCAGCACGTGGGAGAAACACATAGATGAAGTGATAGTTACTGCAATGTGTTGTGGCCACGCTGGATTACAAGATGGCTTCATATATGCAGAAATAATACCTTTGATTCTCCACTGAGCTCAGAAGGAAGATGTGACTTTCCTGTCACTTATGACTCTATTTTTCTAGATTTGAGCTTCAGTCCAACTCAGATCGGTGGGCAATATCAGTATTTGGGTGAGCATCACTCCGCTTGAGATTTGTTCTTTTGGGTTGATGACCTGTGTCTCTTATAGTCTCCCAATATAAATACATTCATTTCTGAGATGGGTGTAAATATACTAGTTCAACAGATTATTTTAACTTTGGCAAGGCTTTTGAATGAATGCAAGACAGAATCAAATTTTGCTAAGTAAGAATGAGAAGAGAAGTAAGTAGAGACTGATAGGGACTACAGCAGGCTTTGGACTGTCACCACAGCATAAGAGCCCTGGGAATTAAAGAGAAGCAAAGACAAAAAAGGTGGCCAGGAGCCTCAACTGCCTGTCAGTTTTGAGGTCAGAGAGAAACCTCATCTACCTGTCAGCTTTGCTTGGGCCAGACATGGTCATTAGTGCCTATGAGCTCTGACAAGTCTTTATGTGCCTAACATACCCCCAAAAGAAGTAATCATTTCACTAGTAGGCCCTTCCTGTTGAGTTCCTCATTTTTATTAAGGACATTACCTCTGTGACTCATGTCTCCCCCTCTCCTCCAATAAAGCATTTGCTATAACCTGTAGATTCTACCTTCACACCATCTCTCTCTCATGTGCTTCTTCCTTTGTATTCCCATTGCCAGAATCAAGTTCAGGACTTCATCACCTCCTGCCCGGTTTATTAATTTGCTTTCTATCAAGAAGTCATTATCTCCAGTAACCTCTCTGCTCAAATCCAGTCAGATAATTGTTTCTTTATTTTCTTTTTTAGATTTGTCCAAAATTTGTAATATTTTTGCTAAAAAGCATCAGTGACCACCCATTGACAGCAACAAAATTGACTGTAAGCTTCTTTTTCCTACATGCAAATTCAGCCACAATAATGCCCCATTTTTCTTTTAATCTCCTTTTCTTCTGTTGCTCCACATAGCTGCCAAACTCATTGCTATTTCACAAATATGCCCCATCAAATACTTGCATGATTCAGTCTGAACTCCTGGTGTTGCCACCACCTGTAGTATGTGCTTTTATTACTCTTACCCAAATGCTGTCTATTTAACACCTGCTTTACATACATTCTTTATGAAATTTTCCTGACTTTCTCAACCAGATGTGATCAATTTTTCCTCTGTGTCATCATAAATGTGTAAACAGCATTCATGCTAGATCTTGTTTGTTCTTTTCTATTATAGTTTTCATTTTTATTGTTTTACTTGTGCATTGTGAACATATTAAGGGAAGAAGCTCCATTTTATTATTTTCTGTATCTTCTTTCCAGTACATATCTTGTATAAAATGGGAACTCTGTAAATATTTGTTAGATTGAGAGTAATGTGTCACAGATGTAAAAAAATTGATGTGAGCCACTCTTAAGCAACCCACCAGGAAAGTATATTTACAAAACACATAAAAGGTGCTAATTAAAAAAAAAAAAAGTGTGTGTTGTTTTTCAAATGATCTTGGTTGACGTTAGGCCTTCTCAAAGGTCTGTGACCTTGTTGGTTCAAACGAAATGAAATCTTCTTGGTAGCGTGGTTCTGTTGTTTTCAAAACCCTATATAAATATGGAAGAGAGATTTATGGAATTTCTTTGGATCACTGAACTAGTAGAGTGACTAATTGGGATGAATATATAGATATACCAATTGAAAAACTAGAGATTTTTTGAAGTCAATGAAAATTTCTAAGAGTTCCTATTACATTTTCTCTAATAAAAGAGAAATAATGTTCAAATGAAAGGTATGGAGATGCTGAAGTGCTAAATACTACAGACATTTTAGTTAGTAATGGAGCTTATCGACATTAAAATAAATTAAATTTATTTTATATTTCTAAAAAGATGTTAGGAGTATAATCACTATGGTGAGTAACCTAGAATATTTACTGCCTTAAATTTTATTCCTAAATAAACCAGGGGCAATTATAACACCTGCTGCCGTCCCCATGCCCCACCCCTGCCACGCTGAGTTATTGATACTAGGGTAAGGCTTTGATTTCAGATACTGATAATATATGGTTAAGAAAATATTTTTCTAGGAATTTATATTAAGCAAACAAAATATGTTCAATATGCAAAAGTTCAGTATCCAGAATTTTCTTCTGTTCCTAACCCACTTTATGATTACTCTTTACTACCTAAATACAAAAACAATATCAATCTCTGATTTTTACATTTACTCCAGTCATACTAAGCAAATTATCTCTTTTCTCCTCCCCCTTTGCTCAGGCTAAGATGGAGAAGGGACAAGAGTAGTTAGGTAGGAGAAATATGTGCTTTGTGGTGAATTATATCTTTTCTATAAAATAATAGAATTGTATAGAAATTATGGATGGAGGTATGTTGTTAATTGAAAACACCGTGTAATTGTTGTAAGACATAAACCTGGAAAATCACTGTCATTAATACTATTTATGTATATTTATATTTCCAGTTAGGTTTTTTTGGAACATTGCATAGGCAAAATATTGTTTATAAGTTGCATAAATTCTTTTCTAATTTTAAGTACCTTAGAATGATGATCAAAATCAATAATTTTATATTCATGTTACTTTTAAAATATAAATTATATTCTTATCATTTTAGCAGTTTTAATATACTTCCCTCTAAAGTTTTAAATATTTTATTATTTAGCATTTATATAGTTACTTTACCTCCCTAAATCCCACCCTTTAATAGTAAATTTTTTTAAAACTAACATTGACATCGCACAAGTTTTTGGAAGGCTTTCTTGAAATCTTCATTAAAGATTGTATAAATCAGTGGATTTATAAGGGAATTAAGATACCCAAGCCATGTCAAAAAATTTGACATTTCTTCAGAAATTTTACATTTTTCACAGACATTAACAACCAGTTCTTTTACAAAAAAAGGAAGCCAACATATTACAAATGCACCCAAGATTAATCCCAAGGTAGTGGCTGCTTTGCGTTCTCTTGCACCTGAGATCTTTTGTCTTCTCCAAGATTTCTCATGCTTGAACTCAGATCTGGGACTTTTCACTGCACCCAAGATTAATCCCAAGGTAGTGGCTGCTTTGCGTTCTCTTGCACCTGAGATCTTTTGCCTTCTCCAAGATTTCTCATGCTTGAACTCAGATCTGGGACTTTTCACTGTGCTGTGAATTTTATCAAAGTCTGTTGATGGATCAGATAAAGACTTTTCCAGCACATAAGGTGTGGAGACGAGTCTAGTGTTTTTCTCACCACTCTCCAAGAGGACTTGGCCATTCAGCTCCTCCTTTGAGATCCTACTTGCTTGTCTCTTGTGGTATAACGTCTTTGCTGCTTTATATATTTTGTAGTAGAGGATCAGAATCAAGGCTAATGGGATGTAGAAAGCTCCAAATGTTGAGTAAATAGTGGAAATTATGTGGTCGTGTCTGATGATACACTCGTCATCTCGGCTAGTTCCTTGGTGCCTCCAGAATAGAGGAGGCATAGAGATAAAGACAGATATAATCCAAACTACTGTAATCATAATGCCAGCATGCTTGGGTGTCCTTTTCCTGGCATACTCAACAGCATCTGTGATTGCCCGATACCGATCCAAAGCTATAGCTGAGAGATGCAAGATGGAGCACGTGCAGCAGGTAATGTCGACACACAGCCAAATGTCACAGACCACTTGCCCCATAATCCAGCTCTCTCTCACAATATACACAATGCTGAAGGGCATCACCAGGACGGCTACAAGAAAATCTGTGACAGCAAGGGAGCAAATTAAATAGTTGGCAGGGTGGTGCAGCTTCCTGGTCACAATAATTGCAGCAATCACAAGGGAGTTGATGGTTGTTGTCATCAGTGCCAGCCCGGACAGAGTGAGGGACACCAGAATTTTGGATGGCATTCTGTTTAACAGTTCCTCTGAGGTCAAATTTCGATCAGATGAGTTTAAGAAATCCATTTTTTTGTTGTTTTAAGAGATTAATCTGATAGATTAATCAGATACCTGTAACAAAGGAAGCGGAAAAAATGTTCAGTGAAGTCTTCAAGAATTTTTCTCTTCCTTTCAGAATTATTTTTTAAAAAGAATATGCGTATGTTTTTCTAGAATATTCTGTGAATGAAAAATGGAGCTCGGATCATAGGTTTTATTTTTCTTTTCATTTAATTTAAGGAATCTAGTGAGAATAGTAAGAAACAGTAACCTCTAAAACATTTCTTAAAACATAGCTAAATAAAACAATTTCTATGAAACAATTTCTGTGAGAAAAGTAGCCTATTATTCAGCTAAATCTCTAACATTATAGAATTGCTTTTAAAAGTATATTAGCTATAGCTACATTTTTCTCTTTTTCCTCAGCAGCAAAAATTTAAAAGCACATGTCATTAATATATATTTGTGCATTGAATAATGTAATAAAAGAAAATATTATATTAAAGGCAGTATTTGAAATCATTGACAATTTTGTACTTAATTCAAAGTTACATTGAAAACATCATCATTGGGCTCATGGAGATGAAAGGAACTTTTAATATATTTTACATTAGGATATAGAGGTTATACAAAAGTGGTTTTTGTTTTTTTTTAGTATATCTCTAGCATTCCATGATCACTTTATGAAATTAGGAAACTGTCAGAGTATTTAGTAGTCTTGGTGGATATAAGCAGGTGATTTGGTTTAAAAAGATAAAATAAGATTAGTTGGGGTCAAATAACTGTACTACACTATCCATTATAGCAGTGACATGTATGACCAAATAACTTATTTATGAAGGTGAAGTCACCAGTAAAGAAAACTTATAATGGCACTCATGCTGAAGTGGAAGCTGTTCTTTGTAAGTCACCTTTGTAATAACCATATTGTTATTCAGAAGACCAAAAATCTTCTGAAAGAAGACTCTCCACACATGACATAATTTTTGCTTTAGACCATGCTATTATTTAATTTCAAGTCATATAATAGCAATTGAGTTTTAATAAAATAATATTAATACTTTTTATAAGATAGCTTTTTTTTTATCAGTCCTCCTCTCTTTTTAAAATAATTCTTTAGCAGTTACCTGTATGTTAGGAATAGACAAAGAGAAAGTGAAAGTCTGAAATTTTATTTTTAGTTATAACTATTACTGTATCAAGTACTTCATAGGAACATGAATAATCATGTATATACAATGTGTTAAATATATTATAAAACATCTTGGAGTTCAGCATATTTACTATTCTACTTGTGTTTGGGTTACCAGTACTAAATTTAATTTTTGTTTTCTGATATTCATTGAAGCAAAGTGTTGCTAAGCAAATTGAATGGCAGAAGAAATTTGAATACTTTCTACCCAGAAAATGAATGGCTGTTCATTGTGTAATTGAGAAGTAGTTGTATATCTGTTATTTATATCAACACTTACCCATTTGTAAAGGGCAACTAAGACAACTCCAGATAAAGAATGGACGTTAAAGTCTCCTTAGAAATTCCAAAACAGAGGTTCTCAAATTTAGCCTGCCTCAGAATCACCTGGAGGCCCTGTTAAAACACAGATATCTGTGTTCCACCTCTGGAGTTTGTGATTCAGGAAGTCTGGTGTGGGGTCCTAAAATCTACACTTTTAGCAAGTTCCCAGATGGTGCTGATTCTGTTGATCCAGGGAGTCAGGTTTCTTGGCATAATCAGCATGGTTGTCCCTCATCTAATTGTCTAATTGTTCTGAATGGTACAGCATCTATGAATTCCTCTCTATTGAGATCAGCTCTGACATTTCTGCTATACAACTTTGTCAGCATCTCTCTCACATTCTTATTTCTTGGAGTTTCTCAAATAAATGGTCTTTCATTAGCTTTTCTTCAGATGTTTCTCTATTTTTATTGCTGTCTTCATGCAGCTCTTGGGCTTCCTGAGGTAGGTATATTAACTCATATTGTTTTCATTCTTTTCGGCCTGTTGTAAGAGTTATACCATATGACCACATTTCCTAAAATCAATATTGGATTACAGGGTCTGAGATTTAATGGTGTTCTCATAGGCACCATCAGGAGTGTCACTAACATCCTCAATATCTGTTTTCAATATCAGAGGACCTGAAGTCTTCAGCTATTTTTCTTGGAGACCGTTTTAGGGGTCAGTGGCAACATATGAAATAATGACCTCAAAGTCAGTAAGACATATTAGAAACATAGTAGATTAATCAATTTCTACTTTACTCCAATATTCTCCCATTCTCTCATCATAGAATTTGCACCATATATTCAATAAAAAATAGAATATATATTTTTAATTAGTTAATTCCTTTGCAATGCTATTTAGAGGTTTGAGAATTGATTGAAAAGTGCTGATATTTCCCATATTACAAGCAAAAATAACTTTCCATTTCAATTTGCCTGATAAACAGTTTTGGCATAAGAGCTCTTCAAGAGATAAGCCTGAAATTACATTGTGAATAGAATAGTGAACAAGAGAAACTGTCTGGAAATAGTTACATGGGTTCCTGTAATAAAAATTCTGTTGGAAAATGGACCAGCTTAAAATTAGAAGTGAATTATCTGTTAATTCAACTCATTTCTCTAAGCATCACATTGTAGCATTTAAATTAGACTCAATAAAATGGTACTTAGTACGCCCAAACTAAAAATTTTTGTCATAATTTAGAATTATGATAAAATTTGTATCATATAAATTATATTGAAGTTTACTAGAAGTCTTCTTAATATTCAATTTAGAAACCTAATTAACGTTCTGAGAATTGTATTCATAGACAAAGGAAATAGAAAAAATAATTGCAGCCAATCACAACTGGGCTTCATTTCCTTTTTGCCTTATTTTCCTTGCTACTTACAATTAGAAATGGAATAAACCATCTACTTTCATTAATTCATATATGGCCTCTGACCAGATTCCTTCATGTTCCTTTAAATCTTAAGTTCCCACTGTGTGTCCTCATGTGTGCTATCTCTGTGTTACTAGACATAGATTATGTCCCACATGCCTCTCCTACTCTTAGAGCATATACTGCATTCTGTATTTTGAATGTCTTCAGTCAAGATTACTTTTTCAGTAGAGCCTGCAGTCTCAGTTGTATGCAGTAGCCTTGCTGATAATAACACAGAGAGAGAAAACTTCCCCAGGCTTTTCTCAGCATGAATATTTGCCAATTTGTTGATTTAGCCACATGATGCATTTACTTCTGTTTATATACAGTATTTTTAATCTAATGTTTATTTATATTAAAGGGTCTGTTTGATATTATTGTCCAATTATATTGTCCTCAGGTTAAACTGTTAGCTCCTAGGAGCATAGTTTAATTTATTTGTATTGTAAATAACCTGGGAGGGGGGTCATATGCCAATAGTTTTTATAATAACATTATAAAGTGGCAAAATAGTAAACTTCAATTTTATCAAGACCTCTCGAGAACCTACAAGTTGGCTGTTTTGATTAGAATAATAATATTCATCTTTTCTGAGTGTTTACTTCACAGGCACTGTTCTAAGTATTTTACATATATTAACTTATTTAGTCTTCACAGCTAACCCATGAGTTAGGTACAATTATCTGTCTTTTCATAGATAAGAAAACTGAGGCATGGAAGCTTAATGAACTTCTCTACAATGACAACATAACAATCAGTGGAACAAGCCCATTCTCTTAACCACCATTCTACTCTCTGTAAGAGATTTATTATTTAATAGCTCTATACTGGTCATGAGGTCTATAAAGTAACTACTTTTTCTGCAAAACAAAGATTATGTTATAAAGTGAGAAGTGTGTTCAAATGGAAGCAAATATCCAATAGAATGAATGTTAAAAGCAGTCACCTGGTGTGTCTGTGTTTATTGTAATAGAAGAAATATATTCATAGCATTTCCTAAATTTTTAAAATGCCTTTCCAACTCTGAGACTTCCTTACTGCTCTTACATATTTCTTTGCTCCCATTTATTACTTAAAAAATTATTTACTGAGTGCTATTTATGTGCTGGTTAATTTGATAGTTATAAAAGATATCCCCACCCCTCCCTATTCCCCCCTAAAAACCTCTACCCTAGAACGAAACAAGAAAGGAAAACAACACATCGTTCTTGTATTTAAGAAGCCAGCCATGATAATGAAATAGGTATACACACAATTTATAGTGCAAAAAGGACATTATGGAGGTATGTATAAAGTGTCCTGGAAATACCAGTGAGGGAGAATTAATCATATAATGGGTAAAACAGTGAAAGCCTTTGGAGGAAGGAGGAAAAGTTTAAGCAACAGCAGAGGCATAAGAATGCAGGATGCATGCAGACATGTGAAGTACATAGTTTGATGCATTAATTGCTTACATATTGCAAAGACGTATTAGGACCAGGGTTGAAGATGAGGGAAGAAAGGTAACTGAGGAAGACAATGAAGGGGTTTGCATGCTATGATGAAAAGTCTTAGAAATGTTTAAGAAGATAAATGAAATGATAAGATCTGTGCTTGGCAGAGTGAAGTGTGCTGGTAGTGAGGTACCCCTTGAAGGTGGTGCCACTACTCTAGGGAGAAGGTGTCAGCAGAAAGATTACAGAGCACTCTTTAGAGTATAGCTGAAATTAGAACCCTTAAAAAATAATTGGAATAAAATTGGTCTAGGTTTTTGTGATCCGTGCTTCAAAATTAGGGATGATATCTTGAAGGAAAGATTATTGAATTGATTCAGGATTGGATCAGGAATTGTGGTTCAGATTGGAGTCAAAGGCCAAGGGAAGATAATGGTGGGGGTGCTGGATCAACTCTAGTTTCTAAAAAGAGCAGACCAGAGAGGGTGACACGCAGAGAAAACAGACCAGGGTTGAGGAATCTGAGGTACTGATGAAGTTCAGGGTTTAGGTAACTTGCAAGGATGAAAAAAAAAAAAAAGGAGAGACTGTAGTTATGTTCAGAATTTGGGATTGCAGAATTTTGAATTTAGGGAATGATCTGAAGGCTAGGGTATGAAAATGTTAAGGATTGATATAACTTTTTTTTTTTT